GTAATCATACACTTTGCCCATTTTGGTCTGGAATCGGGTGTGGTTTTAAAGGGAACTACGGAGTGTATGAACGAATTTATCGCTTCAATTCCAAATTAGTAAGAAAGAAAGAGAAATATGCGAATTCGAAATGTATTGAATAATTTTTTTGTTCGCGTTCTATTCTAGGTAATGATAACATAAAGGCAAGGTCTGAAAACGGGAATGAATTTTAGAGGTGTAGACTGAAAACGGGTGTGGACATTTTTTTGGTCTGAAATCGGCTCAGGATTTGAAGAACCGGGCGGCACACTCCCACCAAGAATTCCCAGTAGTACCCCCCGGGGCTTACAGTCTGGTACACATAATTCAAAAACAACTAAACATGACGGTTCAATTTATTATTTGTCTTACAAACGTTTGTAAGCGTACGAGCAATATAAATGCTAAATCACGACAAAATGACCTCATTGATAATAATGACTAGTTTTCTTCACGGAAAACTGCAAGTCTGGAAAATTTCCGGGTCGTTCATGTGGACTGTTAAAAACCTTGAAACGAAAATAAAATAAAATAAAATAAAAACAAAATATAGTTACTTACCGAGTGATCACGCTTGATAAAACATCTAGAGTTTTTGAAGATCGAATAAATATATAGAGCTTGCTGAAAAAATCAGAATTTTTAAAGTATATTAAAGAAGCTCAACCACACACCAATGATTTTAAAAGTGATGAGTCGGCATTTGTTGAATAGCAAAGTGCAGTGCGGAACTAAAAACAATACATGTTCTTTATATTTTAAAATCGTCTACCCCAAATATCCTCTACGCACCTAGGCTTGTCGGTCAATTGATGAAATTTATTTCTGAAATTTTCCCGGCACTAATCAGAAGTTTGCACTGAACCAGATTTCTAAGAATTAACAAGGCGAGGGCGGTGGGTAAAACCGTGATTAGCCTAAAGCCGCAGGGAATGAACAAGGGAATGCAAAAATTATCTCGATCGATTATTGTTAGCACGCCTGTGTACGAATCTGCATATCCATTAAGTCCTTTGTTTCATCCTAGGATGTCAAAAACGTCAGTTAATTTTGGAATGAATCACATGATCAGATCACTACCGCAGTCTCTCCTCTCACACCCTCATCAATTTGACTTCAACCTTCGCGAATATCTCGCACGGAAACGCGTGTTTTGCTACGCAGGCTAACTGGTCGAGATCGAGAGTGGTTTAACCAGCTTATAATTTCCATCTTAGCATTGTATGTACAGTTAGTTTTACCTTCGACTTTGTAGTTGAAGTTTGTATTAGAAGAACAGGGATAATAACTACATTCCGTTTTAAACCCCCCATACAAGTACACTTGGGCAGCAGTCTCTAGGTGAACAGAAGGCAGATCGTGACGAGGTTAAGTCTTTAATTTAGCCTTGTCAGTTGGTATTTCCGAACTCATGTATAACATGTTGAAAAGTCTTGTTCGCTTTATACAGGGTCGTAACATGGTATATCTGGGACCCATTGATCCCTATTTTCTTGCCGTTATTTTGATCCCTGAGCCTCATTTTCCCCAAAATTTTCATCCCTGAGCCCTGATAAAAGAATTGATCCCATCCATGTTTTTACACAAAATTTTAACTTAGGCAACTTTGTTTAACAATCTCCAAATATAGAATATAGAACATGCTCAAATGGGCTGATGAGAAAAAAATCAACTTTAATTTTTAGTGCAAGTTGTAGGTTCTATCAGAGCTTTCTATTCTGCTATCCCTGCTGATGTTGCAGTCTTATGTGAATTTCCTCTTTCACTCTGTGCGTGTTACAGTGAGGTTCACGATCAATTACCAATAGCAAAATACCTGCTTTACATGAAGTAAAAAAATAAAATGATGCAATCCACAGGTTGTGCAGTTTAACAGCTTTTCTATGTCAAGCCCATTAATGGCTTTTCCTCGCTTAATAACCATTGTAGATTGTCAGAGGACATATCTGGTGGTAGGTCTTCCAGACCTACTCCTTCCAGCTTCAAAACTAATTGGCTCTGAAAAGTTGTCCGCCTGAGCTGGCTCCCCTTCCTCTTCGTCACCACCTGACGCAGGTGAATCATCTGATTAAATTGACCCGTGGAGCAATGAAACTAGACGGTGCTCTTCAAGGCAGCTCAAACAGAAGTTGTTTCCATTTTTTATTATTTGAACTTTCCTGATGATACACTTACGTGAATTTCTATCGTCACGTTGCCCAGTCTGGTATACAAGGGGATCTTCTTCTGACTGTTCCAGCTATCTCAAATCCATGTGATCTTCCAGGAATGCGTCACGGTTATGGTGGAGATCTTTTAAAAGAAATGCAAGGAAGATTAAAGGATGATATACCTCCTGTAATTGTGCTTGAGAGCAACTACGTCGCCTTTTGAATAGATCATCTCGTATTCTGCCGCTGCGTCTTGAACTGTAGTTTGTCCTTCACTCCCTTGAACCTCTTTCAGCAGATCGACTTCTCCATATGCCGACGCATTCCCTCTGAACATACTCAGAGCAAGTGGAAGTGTACCAGCTCTTTCTTGGTCTTCCCTCTCGTTCGTTGCTGTCGTAAACCCCCTCCAAATTCTTTCGCAAAGCTCTGCAATGCCTTCCCTTGTCGCTCCTTTCACTCCGCGCTCGTTTCCTCGTCACTATCATCCTTAAGGTTCACTCTTGCTGTACGACTTTCGAAGCCATTCCGGTGCCTTTGGACCCAGCTTTCTCTGTGTGTAATGGCTTTGACGACCGGTATATAATATAAACGAGGATTGGTAGAGCCTCTCTATTGATTCTAAAAGGCAGCTGGGCCGCTATGATGCGTAGTCGTTCAGAGCGGGTGTTCTCACTCCACTAAAAAATTCAGGCTCCAAATCTAAGGTGGTGATACCTTTCGGGGCCAACCACTACATAAGCCGAGGCCGAATAGCCCAAAGAGCCGAAATAATTCTTGCAGATCAATATTGTCACTAAAGTCTGTAAATTTTGTGCAAAACAAAATAACCACTGCACGAATGATGTCTGAGAAAATCTTGCATGAAAAAATAACCCATCCTCGGCTCAAAAATCAATAAGTAAGCCCCTTACTGATGGCCCTTCATGCTGAGTGCTATAATATATTAAATTCCTGCAGAGTCTGCTACTTGCACCTGGTATGCAACATTCCTTTCGCCAATTCCACCGTTTATTTTATGAAAAAAAAACTAAATAAAATAAACTATATAGGTTTTGTTACTTTTATTTCACCGAGGTAAGTCTTTGGTGTTCCACTTATTTTCACCAATTCTACACTGTAATTTCAGACTATTTATCACATAGGCGTTTATCAGTTATACATTAATGGAATGTGTCCTTTACTTTCCCATCCCAATACTAGTACTGGTAGGTGAACCGATCTCGGTTTCTCATCAGAGTTCGAGATAACCCTAAAACTCCATGCAATTAGAGCAGATTTATTAAATTGCGAGATAGCATTTATTTTGCAACAAAGCGCCCGAATTCATTGCACTTTTGTATTCTACTTTTGACGTCCATTCTGATTATTTAAGTACTTTTAAGAGTTAAGTTACCGGTCAAAAAATACGAACCTCGATTTATAGTCGCCTTTTGACTAGCTTGAGGCGATGAGGCAATCGGGACCTATACAGTAAATTCCGTTTTCAATGAATCGGTTTGTATTTTGTCCTGGCGGTATTGTTATGTTTGATGGGCCCAAGAACTCTATGCTTGGACCCTTGCCTGGAGTAAATCAGTCAAGGAAGTACTTACTTACCTTTCTCTGTCACAGGATTTCTTTTTGTCCTTTTTCTTCTTCCCCATTTCTCGCAGAAAAAGATATGTATAAATCGCTTTCTCTGCCTTTGGGCGTTTGACAGCGCGTTAAGGAGTTGCGTTACAAAGCGAGAAAAGTGACTTGAGATTCATATTACGGTGCCCTCAACAATAAAATAAATTAAGAATATGATACCATGTTTTCGTCAAACAACCAGGACTTCGTATGACAGGAACTGCCGCCAGCCGGAAGTAAGAATAGGTAATGTACCTCGGCCAGGAAATTCTATGTGATAAGAGATTTTTAGACCGTGTAATAAATCTGATCCCTGATTCGGGCTCAAAAGCCCTGTGATCCCTGATCCCATTCTTCTGAGCCCTGAGCCCTTTCCTCTGAGCCCTGATCCCAGTCATATTTTGGGCTTTGAGCCCTGAGCCCATATACCATGTTACGACCCTGCTTTATAGAGTGTCTTCACTCACGTGGCCAGCATCTATGCAAATTTATTGGAACAAAAGAAGAGTTTGTATAAGAAAAGAGTTCAATTCCCAGAGGATTGGTTTGGGACACCAACATGGCCGCCGTTTCATTGTTTTGGGACACCAATATGGCCGTCGTGACGTCATGTGAAAACACTCTATACTCAAATCAAGCTCCTAGAGAAAACTCTAACTTTGCGAACACCTCTTTACTACGGATACCCCGATGACAATGGCAACAGATCAATTCACTACAAAAATATTACACAAATTTCAGAATAAAAAAATACCAATTGAAATATATTTTTGTCTGGCCGCTGTACATGTTACGGTCACGCTTAACAGGGAAACCCGTGCAGTGCTTATTTACAATTGAGTGAAGTTTGTTGACTGTACATGTAATTGTTCGCAGTGGTTTTCCAATTACAGAAAATTCTAGGTGACCTTTTTAGGGTAAAAATCCGTTAAAAATGGGCAATTATACGATTTTTTTGAAGTTCGAAAATCCTAGGAGAGGCAGGCAAGCAAGAAATTTTTCAGAAAATGATCCGAAAATTCTAGACCTCAAATCGTCTTCCGAACAGATAATTTTCCGAAAATTGTCGTTGGGTGCCCCTGCAATTACTTTTATTTCTTTTACGTACGTGAATGCAACAATTAAACTACTTGAAAATTGGATCGCCTTGAGCATGCCGCGGGTTGTTGAATCGACCACCGTTTACGAGGCACTAAAGAATTTCCGCGTACTAACTGACATAAATATAAAAACGCTTCGGCCTAATATCTCGGCAAAAACCGCCAACCATGGTCCCTATTCCTAAAGGATAAAAAAAAATAAGACCCTTTTTTCATTTCTTTGGAAAACAAACGTTTCTCAGCCTAATATGTAAAATGTAAAATTCCCATCATGAAACAGTAAGTAGCCCTTCGATCAGTGAAAAGTTGACTACAAGGGATTTGATCTTACCACAAAAGCTTTCACGCAGAAGACAAACAAAGATAACATAAAGAAAACAAGTTTTAAACAAATAAATGTTTATTTTTATTTTATTATGCCTTTACAATGTTGTTTAAAGCGCTACCTAAGAGCGCTTTCCATTGTCATACTGACCGGCCACACCAGTCTCGTTGCAACGATAATTTCCCTTTTGATCAAAACTCTCCAGCTAGATCAGTCAAATCCTAAATAGTGTGCCGGAAGAGGATGGTTTTTCAGCAGAAACCCTCGCAAAAAGCCTATTACATTTTCAAACTGACTGGTCTGGCAAATGTCAGGCGGGCTAGCTCTGTCAAATGGAAAAGTTTCGTTAAATTTCCGCTTCCTCTGCTCGTGTAGTCACTTCGGCGGGCGAGAAGACCGCCTCTGTCCCCGAGTGACTTGCACAGCGAATAAGGCAGCTGAAATCAATATAAACTTTAGTTTAGCGGGATATTCTAGAGAACGCCCAGAGCAGTTTACGTAGTGTATACAAAAATGAACGGTGATTTGATCGCACATTTTATCCAAAAAAAGCGGCTGGAAGGGGTCCTGCTCATTTTCCTTTTACTTTCTTTGGAGTGCAGTTCCAGAAATAGTAAAGATAATTGTTGATCCCCACGTATCCTGATTGGTACAGAACTCGCCATGAAAGGAACCCATGACGCAGGCCTGGCACTGAAAAGAAAGAAATTCAGAGGCAAATAATTATTTTAAATCATAGTTCTACAGAGGATTTGAGAACTATTCTACCTTTTAAACCTTTAATTCTTAGATTAAAACGTAAGGTCCTACGTGTATGGTTTGGTTATCGACTTAATCAGTCGGTTTTCCGTTTCATTAATCAGGCAATCAATTTTTTAGTCAATCAATCAATCAATCAATTTTTAGTAAATTAAAAGAATTACCAAAGAAAGATACCATTCTTCTCCAAAACAGACGGACGGAAAATAAACAAAATTAACCACATTCACAGGAATGTGCAGCCACTAATTAAAATTCGAGGGAGGATACATTAAACAATATTATTAACACAAAAACTTATGGTCATACGATTCTTGCAAAAGAGGACCACTGAAGGATATCTTATGACTAATATACGCTTACCATAGCAGCTACGTCGGAAACAGTATTTAATGTGAAATATTTTCAAGATGTGGTTTGTAGGAACGCTAATAGTGAAACGAATGTCACGAAACCCACGAGTCACCCGGTGTTCTCCGAAATCTTCCTCGGCGTCTTCCTTTGTTGGTATCTTTGGGTCTTCTTCGGCGACTTTTTCCGGGTCTTCCTTCAGATAAGCGGTGCTGTCGAGATTCGCGTCCCTCGCTAATGTTTCTTCACCTCTCAAGGTTTCCGCATCCGTCTCGCTTTCAGCTTTGGTGTACTTAACCAAACAGAGGGCCAAGACCAACACAACGATCTCGTACAAGCGCATCTCTGGCTGTCGAACAAATGAATATGTAAAAGACTCAAGAGCTTGTAAATTAAAATTAAAACTGCGAAGTATTCTTAGCGGAGCTACGTTAAAAAAATCCCTCTTGTAAAGTCAACAGCGCTTAGCTGGTACCAAAACTGGGGATCCAAATAACAGTCTAACTAAATTTCCCCTTCACTTTCATGTAATACTGGCTATGGATACTGGGTTAAATCAGTGGAGTTGACGACAAATATGCAAGCCTTCTTTTTTTAAAATTCCAATAAAGGAATCGCAAAAAGTGGTCCTTTTTGCTCTTGAACTCGCGGACCCTCTTAAAATACGAAGTTAAGTTGTTTAGCTTCTCCAATTCAATATAGTTTTCAACCAGTAGAATGTAAAATAAATTTACAGGCAAAGATATATAAAACTTAATCATCAGTCTAAACCAGTGAATTAAGCTATTCATAACCCGAGCTGACAGGAGAGATCTAAGGGAAAGAAAGAAATATAACGCTTTAAAACGAATCTTCACCTTGACTGATCAGACTGTGATGACGCTAAGGTTTCAAAGTGTTTTCTTTTGCTCACACGGTAGCAAAAGAAGAATAAGCGCGTTTGCCCTCTGATCTGAACAAAACAGCTTTTTTATACCATTGGTCACCACAAAAACGTGACTAGAACTTGAACCAATGTTGGTTATTTCAAGAACTCTGGTTTCTCTGGAAAAACAAAATTCTTTTGTATGCACTAACTCTTGTCAGTTTGGGTATCAAAATCACTTCTGAGGGGCCGGACTGTACAAGGCATCACGTAATTGAAGCAGGCTTACAACCCGGGGGGGAGGGTACTCCTTTATATAAGCCATATTACTTTGTAGTTGAAATTTGTATTAGAAAAACAGAGACAATTACTACGTTCCCTTTTAAACTCCCCATGCAAGTACACTTGGGCTGCATGAGTCTCTCCTGACATAGTGAACAGAAGTTTTATCAGGGCAAATCGTGAGTTTATAGTCTTTAGCCATGTTATTTGATATTTCCGAACTCAGGTATAAAATGTTGAAAAGTCTTGTTCACTTCACACTCAAATCAAGCTCGTAGAGAAAACTCTCACTTTACGAACATCTCTTTTAATTATTACGGATACCCCGATGACAATGACAGCAGATGAATTCACGGCAAAAATTTTACAGAGTTTGCCAAAAAAAACCACCAAATATATTTTCTTCTGGACACTGTTATCCCATTCAGGACTTATTTATAATTGAAGTTTGTTGACTGCCGGTACGTATGTGTCTGACTCATTGTTCACAGTAGTTTTCCAATTTCTTCTACTCTTTTACGTAAGTGAACGCAACGATTAAACTACTTGAAAATTGGACCCCCTTGAAGCTTGCCACTGGTTGTTGAATCGATCACCGTTATTTACAGACACTAATTAAAAGAATTTCCGCGTTCTAGAACGTAAATATAAAAACGCTTCAGGCTAATATCTCCGGCAAAAACCTCCGACCATGGTCCCTATTCCTAAAGGATAAAAAATAAGACCCTTTTTTCATTTCTTTGATAAACAAAAGTTTCTCAGCCTCTGCAAAATATTAAATTTCCATTGAAACAGTAAGTAGCCCTTCGAGCAGTAAAAAATTGACTACAAGGGATTTGATCTTACCACAAAAGCTTTCACGTAGAAGGCAAACTAAGATAACATAAAGAAAAACACGTTTTAAAGAAACAAATTATCTTTATTTGTCATGGTAATTAAAAGAGACATACCTTCACAGTGTTGTTTAAAGCGCTACCAGTTGGCGTTTTCCATTTGTCAGACTGACCGGCCAGACCATTCCCGTCGCAACGATAATTTCCCTTTTGATCAAAACTCTCCAGGCAGATCAGTCAAATCCCAAATAGTGTGCTTGAAGAAGATGGTTTTTCAGCAAAAACCCTCGGACAAAGCCTATTACCTTTTCAAACTGATTGGTCGGGCAATGGTCCGGCGAGGCGGTTCTGACAAATGAAAAGCACCCTAAGTTTCGGTAAATTTCGAATTCGAGCACTTCCTCCGCTCCTTTAGTCACTCCGGCGGGAGAGAAGACTGCCTCCGTCCCCGAGTGACTTGGAGAGCGAATGAGGCAGCTGAAATCAAGCTAAACCTTAGTTTGGCGGGAGATTCTAGAGAACGCCCAGAGCAGCCTACTTAGTGTATTTAAATAAAAATGAAAGGTTGATTTGATCGCACATTTCATCCCAAAAAGCGGCTGAAAGGGGTCCTGGTGGGAGTAGGCGAGGGCCTCAATCGAGTTGGTCGAGGCTGCGGTCTTATCTTTGGACTGCAGTTCCAGAAAAAGTAAAGCCAATTGTTGATCACCACGTATCCCGATTGGTACACAACTCGCCATGAAAGGAACCTTTGACTCAGGCCTGGCACTGAAAAGAAAGAAATTCAGACGGAAATATTATTTTTAAATCATAGTTCTACAGAGGATTTGAGAACCATTCTACCTTTTAAACTTTTAATTCTTAGATTAAAACACAAGGCCCTACGTCACGGTTTGGTTTTGTTATCGGCGTAATCAGTCGGTTTTAGGTTTAATCAGGCAATCAATCTTTAAATCAATCAATCAATCAATCAATTTTTAGTAAATTAATAGAATTACCGAAGAAAGATATCATTCTGTTCCAAAACAGACGGACGGAAATTAAACAAAATTAAGCGCATTCAGGATACATTGAACATTTAAGACAAAAACGTATGGTCATTAGATTCTTGCAAAAGAGGACCAATGAAAGCTGATGAAGAATATCTTATGACTAATATACGCTTACCAAAGCATCTACGTCGGAAACAATATCTAACTTGAAAGAATCTCAAGTTGTGGTTTGTAGGAACTCTAATAGTGACATAGAGTGGGCGTGGCCGTTTTCTGAAATCTTCCTCGGTGTCTTCCTTTGTTGGTATCTTTGGGTCTTCTTCGGCGGCTTTTTCCGGGTCTTCCTTCAGATAAGCGGTGCTGTCGAGATTCGCGTCTCTCGCGAATGTTTCTTCACCTCTCAAGGTTTCCGTATCCGTCTCGCTTTCAGCTTTGGTGTACTTAACCAAACAGAGGGCCAAGACCAACACAACGATCTCGTACAAGCGCATCTCTGGCTGTCGAACAAATATGGATATGAAAAAGACTCAGAGCTTGTAAATTAAAACCAAACCTGCGAAGTATTCTTAGCGGAGCTACGTAAAAAATCTCTCTTGTAAAGTCGACAGCGCTGAGACTCGTAGAAAAATGATCGAAAAACAGTCTAGCAAAGAAATTTCCTCTTCACGTTCAAATAATACTGGCCATGGATACTGAGTTAAATCAGTGGAGTGGACGCCAAATATGCAAGCCTTCTTTTCTTTTTAATTCCAGTAAAGGAATCGCAAAAAGTGGTCCTTTTTGCTCTTGAACTCGCGGATTCTCATAAACTACGAAGTTAAGTTATTTTAATTAGCTTCTCCAGTCCAATATAGTTTTCACACTATTTTCAACCAGTAGAATGTAAAACTAAATTTACAGGTAAGGATATATATAAAACTTAATAATCAGTCTAAACCAGTGAATTAAGCTATTCATAACCCGAGCTGACAGGAGAGATCTAGGCTAAAGGGAAAGAAAGAATTATAACGCTTTAGAACGAATCCTTACCTCAGCTGATCTGACTGTGATAATGTTCAGGTTTCAAAATGTTTTCAGCTTTTTCTCGGCACGGTAGCAAAAGATGAATAAGCGCGTTTGCCCTCTGATCTGAACAAAACAGCTTTTTTATACCATCGGTCACCACAGAAACGGGAACCTAGTACTTGAACCAATAATGGTTATTTCAAGAACTCACTGTTGTTACGTAGTGAGTGTGTCCTCAATAAAGTAAGAAGCTGGTTCCTCTGGAAAAACACATTCTTTTGTATGCACTAACTCTTGTATCAAAATACTTCTGAGGGGCCGGACTGTACGAGGGTATTACGAAATTGAAGCAGGCTTACAGCCCGGGGGGGGTACTCCCTTATATAAGCCATATAGGTATGTGCCGCCGCATCAGGTAGGGTTTTTGCGCCGTTTTGGTCTGAAAACGGGTAATCATACACTTTGCCCATTTTGGTCTGGAATCGGGTGTGGTTTTAAAGGAAACTACGGAGTGTATGAACGAATTTATCGCTTCAATTCCAAATTAGTAAGAAGGAAAGAGAAATATGCGAATTCGAAATGTATTGAATAATTTTTTTGTTCGCGTTCTATTCTAGGTAATGATAACATAAAGGCAAGGTCTGAAAACGGGAATGAATTTTAGAGGTGTAGACTGAAAACGGGTGTGGACATATTTTGGTCTGAAATCGGCTCAGGATTTGAAGAACCGGGCGGCACACTCCCACCAAGAATTCCCAGTAGTACCCCCCGGGGCTTACAGTCTGGTACACATAATTCAAAAACAACTAAACATGACGTTTCAATTTATCATTTGTCTTACAAACGTTTGTAAGCGTACGAGCAATATAAATGCTAAATCACGACAAAATGACCTCATTGATAATAATGACTAGTTTTCTTCACGGAAAACTGCAAGTCTGGAAAATTTCCGAGTCGTTCATGTGGACTGTTAAAAACCTTGAAACGAAAATAAAATAAAATAAAATAAAAACAAAATATAGTTACTTACCGAGTGATCACGCTTGATAAAACATCTAGAATTTTTGAAGATCGAATAAATATATAGAGCTTGCTGAAAAAATCAGAATTTTTAAAGTATGTTAAAGAAGCTCAACCACACACCAATGATTTTTAAAGTGATGAGTCGGCATTTGTTGAATGGCAAAGTGCAGTGCGGAACTAAAAACAATACATGTTCTTTATATTTTAAAATCGTCTACCCCAAATATCCTCTACGCACCTAGGCTTGTCGGTCAGTTGATGAAATTTATTTCTGAAATTTTCCCGGCATTAATCAGAAGTTTGCACTGAACCAGATTTCTAAGAATTAACAAGGCGAGGGCGGTGGGTAAAACTGTGATTAGCCTAAAGCCGCAGGGAATGAACAAGGGAATGCAAAAATTATCTCGATCGATTATTGTTAGCACGCCTGTGTACGAATCTGCATAGCCATTAAGTCCTTTGTTTCATCCTATGATGTCAAAAACGTCAGTTAATTTTGGAATGAATCACATGATTCGATCACTATCCGCAGTCTCTCCTCTCACACTCTCATCAATTTGACTTCAACCTTCGCGAATATCTCGCACGGAAACGCGTGTTTTGCTACCCAGGCTAACTGGTCGAGATCGAGAGTGGTTTGGCCAGCTTATAATTTCCATCTTAGCATTGTATGTACAGTTAGTTTTATCTTCGACTATGTAGTTGAAGTTTGTATTAGAAAAACAGGGACAATAACTACATTCCGTTTTAAACCCCCTATACAAGTACACTTGGGCAGCAGTCTCTTAGTGAACAGAAGGCAGATCGTGAAGAGGTTAAGTCTTTAACTTAGCCATGTCAGTTGGTATTTCCGAACTCATGTATAACATGTTTAAAAGTCTTGTTCGCTTTATACTCAAATCAAGCTCCTAGAGAAAACTCTCACTTTGCGAATACCTCTTTATTACGGATAACACGATGACAATGGCAACAGATCAATTCAGGCCAAAAATATTACAGAAATTTCAGAATAAAAAAACGCCAATTGAAATATATTTTTGTCTCGCCGCTGTACATGTTACGGTCACGCTTAACCGGGAAACCCGTGCAGTGCTTATTTACAATTGAGTGAAGTTTGTTGACTGTACATGTACAATTGTTCGCAGTGGTTTTCCAATTACTTTTATTTTTTTTTACGTACGTAAATGCAACAATTAAACTACTTGAAAATTGGATCGCCTTGAGCATGCCGCGGGTTGTTGAATCGACCACCGTTTACGAGGCACTAAAGAATTTCCGCGTACTAACTGACATAAATATAAAAACGCTTCGGGCTAATATCTCGGCAAAAACCGCCAACCATGGTCCCTATTCCTAAAGGATAAAAAAAAAAATAAGACCCTTTTTTTTCATTTCTTTGGAAAACAAACGTTTCTCAGCCTAATATGTAAAATGTAAAATTCCCATCATGAAACAGTAAGTAGCCCTTCGATCAGTGAAAAGTTGACTACTAGGGAGTTGATCTTACCACAAAAGCTTTCACGTTGAAGACAAACAAATATAACATAAAGAAAACACGTTTTAAACAAATAAATGTTTATTTTTATTTTATTATGCCTTTACAATGTTGTTTAAAGCGCTACCTAAGGGCGCTTTCCATTGTCAGACTGACCGGCCACACCAGTCTCGTTGCAACGATAATTTCCCTTTTGATCAAAACTCTCCAGCTAGATCAGTCAAATCCTAAATAGTCTGCTCGAAGGGGATGGTTTTTCAGCAGAAACCCTCGCAAAAAGCCTATTACATTTTCAAACTGACTGGTCGGGCAAATGTCAGGCGGGCTACCTCTGTCAAATGGAAAGCACCCTAAGTTTCGTTAAATTTCGAATTCGGCCGCTTCCTCTGCTCGTGTAGTCACTTCGGAGGGAGAGAAGACCGCCTCTGTCCCCGAGTGACTTGCAGAGCGAATAAGGCAGCTGAAATCAATATAAACTTTAGTTTAGCGGGATATTCTAGAGAACGCCCAGAGCAGTTTACTTGGTGTATATAAAAATGAACGGTGATTTGATCGCACATTTTATCCAAAAAAGCGGCTGGAAGGGGTCCTGCTTATTTTCCGTTCCATTTCTTTGGAGTGCAGTTAAAGAAATAGTAAAGATAATTCTTGATCACCACGTATCCTGATTGGTACAGAACTCGCCATGAAAGGAACCTTTGACGCAGGCCTGGCACTGAAAAGAAAGAAATTCAGAGGGAAATAATTATTTCAAATCATAGTTCTACAGAGGATTTGAGAACTATTCTATCTTTTAAACCTTTAATTCTTAGCCGTAAAACATAAGGTACTACGTGTATGGTTTGGTTATCGACTTAATCAGTCGGTTTTCCGTTTCAGTAATCAGGCAATCAATCTTTTAGTCAATCAATCAATCAATCAATCAATCATTCAATTTTTAGTAAATTTATAAAAGAATTACCAAAGAAAGATATCATTCTGCTCCAAAACAGACGGACGGAAAATAAACAAAATTAACTGCATTCACAGGAATGTGCAGCCACTAACTAAAATTCGAGGGAGGATACATTGAACAATTAACACAAAAACTTTTGGTCATAAGATTCTTGCAAAAGAGGACCAATGAAGGATATCTTATGACTAATATACGCTTACCATAGCAGCTGCGTCGGAAACAGAATTTAATGTGAAATATATTGAAGATGTGGTTTGTAGGAACGCTGATAGTGATAAAGACCCGCCGAGACACTCCGCGTTTTCCGATATCTTCCTCGGCGTCTTGCTTTGTTGGTATCTTTGGGTCTTCTTCGGCGGCTTTTTCCGGGTCTTCCTTCAGATAAGCGGTGCTGTCGAGATTCGCGTCCCTCGCTAATGTTTCTTCACCTCTCAAGGTTTCCGCATCCGTCTCGCTTTCAGCTTTGGTGTACTTAACCAAACAGAGGGCCAAGACCAACACAACGATCTCGTACAAGCGCATCTCTGGCTGTCGAACAAACGAATATGTAAAAGACTCAAGAGCTTGTAAATTAAAATTAAAACTGCGAAATATTCTTAGCGGAGCTACGTTAAAAAAGTCCCTCTTGTAAAGTCAACAGCGCTTAGGCTGGTACCAAAACTGGGGATCCAAATAACAGTCTAACTAAATTTCCTCTTCACTTTCATGTAATACTGGTTATGGATACTGGGTTAAATCAGTGGAGTTGACGACAAATATGCGAGCCTTCTTTTTTTAAAATTCCAATAAAGGAATCGCAAAAAGTGGTCCTTTTTGCTCTTGAACTCGCGGACCCTCTTAAAATACCAAGTTAAGTTGTTTAGCTTCTCCAATTCAATATAGTTTTCAACCAGTAGAATGTAAAATAAATTTACAGGCAAAGATATATAAAACTTAATCATCAATCTAAACCAGTGAATTAAGCTATTCATAACCCGAGCTGACAGGAGAGATCTAAGGGAAAGAAAGAAATA